CGTCTTCCATCCCTTTTGCTCTTCATTTTTTTCCCCCCTTTCTTCTAGAGGTTTATCTTTATATTATAATAATTTTGTTTACTTATTAATAAAAGTGCTTTTCTCTATGTAAAACTTGTTTTGATTTGTGCATGATTATGCTGAACCTATTCACATTCACGCTTAAAATAGATAAAAAGAAATGTACAGTGTTTTCAACTTGTATTGTGGAAAGTATGTTTTATTGAAGAAACAGTTTACTTTTAAATAATTTCTCAGGAAACTCTTCCGAGCATCAATTCATTTCCTTAGGTTCATATTCATAGTATAATAAAAAATAATTTATATGTTGAAACAGAGAAAGTGAACAGGAAAAAGATGTCTGAATTTTAATTTTTTACTTTTCAAATTTAGATAAAGTGTTTCTTGTTCAACGTTAAAAAGGAAAAATTGTAATGTTGATAAATTGTGATTTAAAAATTATTTTTTTTCAATATTGAAAATTTTGATTCTGAATGTTGGCACGTTCCTGCCATCACATAATTTTTTTTCAAATGTCTTGCTTTGCTAAGATGTGGTCAAATTTTGCCCAGATTCCAATTTTCTTTTGAGAATTTCCAAGGCATCTTATTAGACTAGTGACATTTATTTTTGTAATAAACATTTTATTCTGGACACTAGTGAATTAAATGTAAACTAAATGAGGTTCAGAAACAGTAACTTTACTTATTTGAAATGTTGATGAAAAATGTCTTTGTGGTAGTCCTGTTGTAAGAACTTTATATTAAGGGTTAAGATAAGGACAAAGACAAAAAGAAGAAAAAAGAATATTAGCCTGCATTGTAAACCAATATGATAATTGTGGGCAAAGGGTGAGTCCTTATTTTCAAAAGAAGGAATGATATATATGAAATATTTTTGTAACTTTGAAGAAATTATTTTAAAAGTAATGCCTTAATTGTTAGTGTTTTGTAAGAATCCAAATTTCAAATGTTTACCTGTACAAAATAAATTTTGCCGTGGCCAATTGAACAACCCCTTTTTTATCCTGGCCTGGGCTTTTGCTTTAATTTTATATGTCATGTGTGTGTGCCCCTTCCTGTTGCAGCCAGCTTCCAGCCCCGGCCGCTTTGCCCTCCCAAACTTCCGCTCCAACAGGAGTAACAGTAATGCTGGAGAGATAGATGAAGCCCAGGTGAAGAAATGGCTTGCAGTTGCTTGATACAAATCGAATTTGGTCAGCTAAGAGCCAAACTCCTTTCTCATGATAATGATTAAAAAGTGTTCAGGACAGAAAAAGACCATTAACATTTTCTTTTGTTAAGTTTTTACCTAGATTTAAAAAAAGATTTTGTTAAAAAAGAAAATACTATCGTTGCAGGTTGTTCTTGTGCTCCTGAAAATGGCAAGCACAAATAGGGCTCCTCTTTCTCTTTTTTTTTTGTCTTAGGAAAACATATTTTTCACAGTAATCATGATGTGCAAGTTTGGCTCTTAGCTATTCTAGGTAATGAAAAGTGTGCCCATCTGTTGTCAGTGTTGTCTGGAACTGTTGCATGCTGTGTGTGTTAAGGTGAAAAACAAAACTGGAAATTGGAATCGTTTGTTTTTTAGAGTCTGGATTAAAGAATGTTTCGAATTTTCATTTTTGAATGTTTAATACCTGGGTAAATCACAAATGGCTTGCTCACGAGTTTGCTGTTTTACAAATACGACTTCATTCTCTTCTATCTCTTTTAAGTGCGTTTAAACTTAAACTGCAGGTGCATTAGGATCGGTAAAGAACAGTTGAAATGTTGTCTTGAAATGATCTGTTTTATGAACTGAACTAAAGTTAGTAATATAATTATATTTTGAGATAGTCATCAGGACTGGTTTACTCATTTTTTTTCACGCATGGATTTATTATGCTGTCACAGTTTGTCTTTGTTTTGCCTGACTCGTTGCCTGGTTCTGATTTCTTTATTTATTACTTCTTTTTCTACTGCTCCCATTTATATGAGATAAAGATAGTTGCCTGTAAATGCAGATATACAAATAGAACTTTGAGCAAGTTTGTGTTGAAATGCCAAAGGTTTCTTTCCTGTAAAGTGCTTTAAAATCACTTTAAAAGACCAGGATAATATACAGTCTGAAAGCATTCGAGCAGAGAAAAGAGTACCAAACCATGACAATCAATGTTTGTTTCAGTTTCAGAGCTAAAGTGAACTCTTAAAGAAGAAGAAGAAAATTTAGGAAGTGGTTTAATTCGTAATCTTAGACGTTTCTTGCATCATCCAAAGTCTCTTGCACAACTTGCTTGGTCAAGAAATGTAAATTCATATCATATTGAAACCTTGTAGATTAGTTTTCCGATTTGTCAGCTGAATGAGTAGGCTCTTGGGTAGATTGAATGATCCTGTCTGAGTTCTCTTCTGACAATGTGGGCAAGTTTTAGGCACATGGTGTCTCTCGCACCTGGTTCTCATCTTTAGAAATTATATATATATTCATATTCAGAGCAATGATAAGGCTTCTTCCCTTCCGTGGGAAGGAGGAGAGCTCAAATTCCGAAGCCAATCGACGTTTTATAGTATTCAAGTGTTCATGGGATGCTTCCAAGCTGAAAGGCATAGAGATACTTCATAAAACATCATCCCCATACGGGAATCAAACTCCTGCCTTTCACATGCATGGCAGAAAAAAATCATGGTACTCTACAAACACTTGCAATCTGGATTTGAAGTGTGTTTTTATGTTACTAGTAATTACTTCACATTTAATGTTACAATGTATTTTCTCTTATATCTGCAATGGTTAACATGCCCCCCCCCCC